TTACTCATTTAGAAATAGAAACCCCCCTTTATTGTTTTTACTTTCCAAGGAAGTCATTGACCAAACAATAGTAATAACAGGTTGAAGTTAAGTCTAGACTATTTTCCTCGTGGGAACTATCCCAACCTCACTAGTTGGGTTATTTACTTGACACGACCGCTTTACTTCTTATTTGAGAAGTAAGTTTGAGCGTATCAACCATCCTGTTAGGAATTGCCATATTTACTTTAAGATTTACAGTTTACCTGGACAAAATGGGATAATCAACAGATATATTGAGGATGTGATATGTTCTTATTCTCAACAAAGTGGGATGAGACATTCAAAAATATTAGGCAAGCTGTGTTGTCTTTTTGGCTTATTCTGATCATACTCCCATTTCATTACAATGTGGGGAACGGGGAGTTCAATATCATATTTCAAGTTTGAAAACTAATGGTTGGGGGTTGAAGGTTCACTGATAAAGTGAAGTCTTGGTGGTCTTCTTTGAAGTTTATGGTAGACCCGATTACATCCTTGCAAGCTGAAGCACTTAAGGAACTAAAGGAATGGAATTCTATTAATTTTGACAGCTTGAGGAAGAACAAAATTAAGCTCTTGGATCAAATCTCAGAACTGGATAGCATTCAAGAACTTAGAATTCTATGTGGTGGAATTGATACCAAAGGTTAGATTATTCATGGAGATAGAGGATAATGCAATAATGAAGAGATACTTGGAAACAGAAGTCAAGGTTGCAGGGCTAAAGTAGGATGATAGAAACACAAAATTTTCCCAACAAATGGCATAGGTTCACAACTTGTAGTAAGTTGTGAACCTGTAGAAGATCAAGTGGCTATCAAAAGGGAGGTAGTGTCCTTTTATTAAAATTTATATGATGAAATAGAAGGTTGGAGACCTGATTTACCTGTCTGAAATGCCCTAAAATCAATGTGGAAGAGTAGTAGTGTCTACTACTACGAGCATTTGAAAAAGAACAGGAGATATTAGACTGTATCAAGAATTCAACATGTGTGCTAATAAAACATCAGGGTTCATCAAGAGCGACCTTGTAATGACACTTGAAAAATTTCCACTCAAAAGAAATTTTCGAGAAAAGTTTTAATTCAAAATACGTGGCTCTATTCCTAAAAGAATGTGCTACGGAGGTAAGTCATTTTCATCTATCAGCCTAATAGGGAACGTATACAAGATTATCTCCGAATTGCCTATAGCTCCAAGAGACTCAAGAAGGTGATATAAGCTGGTGGATTGCTATCAAATGGCATTCCTTAAAGGTGGATAATCGATGCGACATTAGTAGCTAATGAGTGTATGGACACCCGAATGAAAGAGAGGAATCCAGGCGTTTTGTACAAACTAGATATCAGAAAGACTTGTGATAATGTAATTATCATGTAAATTGGGCCTCTCTGATTAAGAGGTAGAAGGATATGGGTTTTGGTAAGAAATGGGTCAATTGGGTCTTCTTCTGTATCGTACTGCACGATTCTCAATTTTGTTAGATGGAGTACCTTAAGGGTCTTTTTCCTCCCAAAGAGAATCGGGATAATGGGTCCCCTCTCACTTTCTCTTCATTATTGTACTGGAAGGTCTATAAAACATGATAAAATTTTCTAAACCAAAACAATTGTTTACGAGGTTTCAATGAGGGAAGCAACATGAAAGTTACACACTTTTTATATACTGATGATTCCTTGGGTTTTCTTGATTGTAAAGTGGAGTAACTTCGGCATTTGAGACTTATTTTAGCAGTATTTAAAGTGATGTCTAGGCTACAGGTAAATTGGAGGAAAGTCTTGCTTTTCCAGGCTTGCTTTCTTGTTATTGTCTACTTAGGCTTGCCCTTGGGATTAAAAATATGTCGCATGAGATGTGTGATAGAGTTCTTGAAAGGGTTGGAAAAATGATTGGCTCAGTAGAACTTACAATATCTATTTCTTTGTGGTAGGGTGATAGCGGTTAACACAGTTCCTTTCTCATTACCCACTTACATGATGTCATTATTCCTTTTGACTACAAAAATTGAGAATGACTTGATTCTTTGAGGAGAAACATCATTTAGCAATCTAATAGATATAAGAGGTGCTTTCATTTAGTCTAGTGGAAAACTCTCATCAGTAGCAAGATGGGTGGGGGCTCAGGCATAAGAAATTTGAGAATGCACAATATTTTTGTGGTGAAATGGTAAAGTGGAAAACTCTCACATTAGCATGACGGATGGGGGCTTAGGCAAGCATTGTGAAGATTTAGTTTGGAAGAGTAAGCATTGTGAATGAGAGCTTTAAGGGGGAAAATATGGAGAAGAGGTTACCTGGTTCTCAAGAAAGGTAATTCTGCTTATGGTGTCGGTGTATGGATGTTCTTGGAATTTTCTGGCATTCTCTTGTCAATAATGTTAGGATAAAAGCCGTGTTATCAAAGGCGCGCTTAAGCCCTGAAGCGAGGCTCAAAACGTGTTGAGCGCTTCACCTCGCTTTATGTGCGCTTCACTGTCGTCATCAAGGTTCTAAGGCAAACTTTTCCTTGCCAATGAGCCTCTTATGAAGAAGTTTATGAAGAAGTGACACTAAACAATTGATATTTCACTTTATCATAATTTTTGTTTCAATTTTTTTGGTCATATATTAGTCATTCATGCTTATAGTTATTAGTCTTGGACTAAACATATATATTTGTATTTTTTTCTCCCTTTGCACCTTTTTTCATCAAAGCCCACGCTTTGTTTGCGCTTTGTGCTTAAGCCCCCACGGACCCTTGAGCCTTTTTGCGCTTTACGCTTTTGATAACACTGGATAAAAGTTGGAAATGAGAGAAACACTTCTTATTTGGAATGACAATTGGATTCGGCATGGACCACTAAAAGGTCTTTTCACTACATTTTCAGCTTGAATCAACAGTCCAAGGCACTAAGTCTGGAAACATGGGTTGAATTTAAGCTTTTGAAGTCTGTTTAATGACTGGAAATGAGTAGAAATAGCTGATTTCTTCAATATTTTTGATGATTTCCCCAAGTACAACAGCTAATGAGGACATATTAATATGGTAGAGGCATGGAAAGGTGATTGCACTGCACAGTTAAGTCATCATACATATTTCTGAGCCAAACTGGGCAGCAGGGGGATTTATTGGCCTTGTAAACACATTTGGAGAGCAAATATTCCTTATAAGGTGGCATGTTATTAATGGTTGGTTGCAAAAGAAGCATGTTTGAGTCGCAAGACAATTTGATGAAAGGGGGATTTCTGTTGTGTTCAAAATGATTTGTCTGGGAAGGACTCAAAATCATAAACCTTTTTTTTCTTTCTAAAAAAAAGAGCATAAATCCTCTCTTTTTACTCTGCGGAGTTACTGATCTGATGTGGTAACAATTTCTGAACATGGAAGGAGTCAAGTGCACTATGCTAAAGACTACTAAAGGGCTGCTGGAATGCTGGAATAACACTATTGGAAATGTCAAACAAAGACAATGGTGGCAAACAATACTTGCCTGCCTGTGATGGACTGTGTGGAAGGAAAGAAACACAAGGTTTTGAAGGAACCTACAACTCAGTACAAATTATTAGGATGAACTATTTGCTCTAATTTTACTTTTGGTGTACCGAAGAACTCATAGATGATGTCGAATCCTTGTAAGGAATTATAGAATCTTGGTAAGAAGAGCACGGAGATCTTTTTGCTTTTTTGTGGAATCCTTAAAACAAAGTATTAGTATGAACTACAACTTTATCATTTACTTGGTCTACTTTAGCTGTCTTCCCGAAATTGCCTTTTCAATTACCAAGAATTGATTGTAGTATAAAGTTATAAGTTTACTGATCATTTATTAGAAGATCAAATTAACTTTTTGGTACAAATATTTAGAAAAGTCCAAAAGAAGTGTAACATGGCGGTTCCAAATTTTATGATAACTAGGTAAATTGTCCGTGCTTCGCACGGGATTAAAATATTTTATTAAGCTTACATATGATTATTCGATAATATTCATATTTTCGATACATACACTACATTTTCAAGAATTTTTTATCTTAAGGCAAAGCACTCCTCCGAAATCAAAGTGATATAGTCATAGAGAGAATTTAAGTATAAGAAAGAAGTCTAAGAAAATCTCCGTAGAAATAGTTCGTCAGAAGTAATGAAATTTTCTAAATTCCAAAAAGTAATAAAGAACAACATCAGATGTTAAAGAATATTCCAAAAGCCTCAAATGACACTACTCCCAAGTAAAGTGGAACATCACGTCCATACAAGAACATATTTAACTAAACTCAAATGCAAGACCTTCAGCTCCTTTCTTATAAACCTCAATCACTCTGTTTTTATTGTAGTATGACATGTCATGTATATTTTTAAAAGGAAAAAGGGTCAAAAATACCGCTCACTTTAGTTTATTAATTGACTATATCTCTGCTGTTAAAACAAAGTTATTTATACCCTCGCCGTTACCAATTCACCATTTATACCCCTCAATTGACGGAAATCCCCAAATCAATCAAAATTAACCCAATTTCATAAAAATTACCCATTCCTCATTTTAAACCCATGCCGACCCATCTAAAAATCTAACCCAAAAGGCATTTAACCCAATTTTAGGATACGACAGTATTAGGTTGTTTAGGAGTATCCCATCCTCGCCATCTCTCCTCTTGGGTGGCATGAAAAAGAGAGTTGATTGCACGAGGAAGAAGCCATCAGTTATTGGCGATGATGGTGATGAAAGTCTTGTAGGAGGTAATACTTCATAAAATCATCCATCAAAATTATCAAGAAATGCAGTGAATATGTAGGTTTGGATATAGAACTAATTTTTTGTTTGTGAATGGTTCATTGTGCTTGATTTCTTTATACAATAGTGTATTATTCTTTGAAGGATTTGTAATAACAGCTTGTTGTTTGGCGTAAAAAAAAGTAAAAATGATAACTCTATCTCTAATTTCATGACTAAACAATAAATAGCTGGAATTTGAACAGAAGAGATAATCCACGGGTGTTAGACGAACCTCGGATAATGACTTCTCTTCTTTGCGATATAAAATTGAGATTTCTCCAACTAGTTCAACATGTTTTCTCCTGCAAAGAGATGAGGAAAATGGGTTATGATTTTGGGTTAGGTTCTTAGATGGGTTGGACATGGGTTTAAAATGGGGAATGGGTAATTTTTATAAAATCGGGTCAATTTTGATTGATTTGAGGATTTCCGTCAATTGAGGGGTATAAATGGTGAAATTGGTAATAGCGAGGGTATAAATAACTTTGTTTTAACGGCAGGGGTATATTCAACTAATAAACTAAAGTTGAGGGGTATTTTTGACCATCTTCCCTTTTCAAAATGACCCTAAAATTATTATTATTATAAATGTGTTTAGAACTGTTCACATTTGGATATTCTAAATAAAAGTTTGATACTTAACATATTAAAAAATCACACAACATATTTTGTGATTACTTGAACTGACAAATATCCACAAATAATAATAATGACAACCTTTGTTTCCTAGCAATCAAGAAGAAAAAGACACGTTGCTTAACATATTTTTCATAAAGATAGTCTATTGGGTTGTATCCAAGTTTACAATTCACAAACTTAATTGAAATAATCCAAAAGAAAGAGTTGTTACTTCTTTATTAAAAAAAAAAACTTTATCAAAATAAAGAGTTAGCACTACAGTAAATGATCTTTAACGATAATTAATGGCCTTATTGTCACTAAGTATGTATTTTCAGGGGATATTGGTACTCTCTATAAATGTCCCTAAAGTTTATAGCAACATTGTATCTAATGACAATTAATTAATTTCGGTAAAAGCTCTAGCACTCTTCGTTACGCATATTTATTTTCGAAAAAATTTTAATTTTTGTTAAAGTGTATTTTGGATATTTTTTAGTTTCAAAGAAAACTTGATCTCTTATTATTCTAAAAAAGAAGAGACAAAAAAATACGTCAAATTAGTTAACTTGCGACAAAAGAAGTGGACTGATTGTGTCTACACTAATAATCAAACTAATATAATATCCCTGGCAAGAAAGAGAGCAATCTGTTTGGTTCTTTTAACAAACTTCAACATTGCTTTCGTATTATTTATCACACAATTTTTGTTGTGTGCTATCAAATATAGCACAACACAAAAAGCAATTTGCCCATAAATTATATGAAGAAAATATATAGAAAGGGACAAAAGAGACATAAATTTTCAATCATTCTTACTGGAATTTTTAACAGAGCTAAAAAAAAGTCAGCAAAATAGCAAATAGAAATTGTAATAGATGCATGAATCACCGACTTACTGTAAATGATTAAGCTTTATGAACTATGAGGAATAAAACACTTCATAAGAAGTTTAATTAATGTATTTCTATTTGACTTTCCTATAGCAATAAAAAAAAACTACAAACAATAGTGGCAGAAATAGAAGTTTTGTCTACTAAAGAATCAAATGTAATGGATTCAACCATTTCAATAGTGTTATGAGTTGTGCAATGAGAGATGCAAGAGTAGCAACGTGGCAATGCAATCAAAATAAATTTTCTTTGTTTGTACGAAAAAACTGTAGCAAGAGATAAAAGAGAAGATCAATTTTCAATGATCTTTTGTGAAACTTTTCACAGAGTAAAAAAAGTCAAAAAAATAACAAAAAGAATTGTCATAATTACATGAATTATGACTTATAGTAAAGATTAAGCTCCATGAAATGGGAGGATGAAAACTTTGAGGAATGAAACAAACTTCATAAGAAGTTTAATTAATGTATTTGAATTCGACTACCTAACAACGGGGAAAAAACTACAAATAATAGTGGCAGGAATTTCCGCTATTTATAGACAACAAAAGGTAGTGTAAATAAACGTTTATTGTGCCTTATCGAAAAGATCACGACTTTGGAAAAATTACAACCCTTCGAAAAGGTCATAACCTTTCATAAATGTCACAATTTTTCATAAAAGTTACAATTATTCATAAAAATCAGAACTTTTGAGAAAAGTTATAACTTTTGATATAAATGTTGCAACTCTTGATAATGGTCACAACTTTTCATAAAAGTTACAACTTCTCATAAAAATGACAACTTTTCATGAAAAGTAAAGGCTAGTTTTGTAAATAAATAAATTAAAAGGGAATTCTGGTTTTTAGATGCGTCACATAGGTGGTTCTAGGATTCACTTTTATATATATATATATATATATGGTTTTGGTGATTCAACTTTAGTTTTAGAGATTTTTAATTTTAAGTATAATATGATATGATGATGAATCCTACTTCTCTGTTAAAAATTGCCATCATATTTCCTATTATTGTTGATATGCGGGTGTTGTATCACTTCCGGCATATTCATGTAATAATAATTAAATGCCTATGAACCTATGCCATACACTTGTCGTTGCCTGCATTCATCAATTTTGATCCTCGGGACCTACAAGCTGTTGTTTTGACCTACATTTTGCAGGTTGGCAAAGTTTAGATGGGATGTTGTATGGCTCCCATTAGGTAAGCCTGCTTGACTGTTTCCACATTCTTATTTACTCCTTTTGGTGAAAAACTTGCATTGATCTTTGAAATTGCAGTGGCGCTGGAGTGTGCATTTACGTAGAGTATTTACTGAATGTGTCATCTGAAGAAGTGAGGAAAGTTAGAGGATATATGTATGCATATAAAGCCAGGTAAGAGTGCAGAGGATGTATGTATGGGCCCTTAAAGCCAGTTTAGAGCTTTCCCTAATCGAATTTTAATACTCGTCTAGTTCCATTATATGTTTAGGTGGCACTGCTTAAAAAGTTAATGTTTATTGATACAAGGCAAAACATAAAGAAAATATTTGAGTGTAAATGTTTTATTATTATTTGATGGTGTACATGTATATGTGACATTGAAATTGCAATTAGAATATATGCTAGGATAATGTTAAACCAGAGGAGAATGTGACTCCAGCCAGGTTTGAGCCTTTCATGTTGCAATCAGGTAATGGAAGCCAGGCCCAATGATTGTTGTTGTTGTTATAGCTTAACCAAATAGTTTCCCATGTACCTTCAAGATTTGTCATCAAAATTGCCCTTGTTACTCCTTTTGATTTTTGCATACACCCCATCATAGCACCATATGGTTTGCTTATTTTATGAATCAACTCATTTGGTGCTACTGATACAAATTCCCAATACCTCCCATTATTTCTGCTCAAACCCCATAACTCTATTCTCTTTATCTTTCTTTTATTACTGTTATTATTGACTTTGTCTGATCTAATAGTCATCATATTGCCATCACCATAGACGTGTAATAGATCTATGGAATTCCCCCAACTAAATCCAACGGCTAATCGATGATGTTGGTGCTCCTGCTCATTATTGAATGTTGGTCTGATGACAAGCGGAGTATTAGTAGTGATAGTAGTAGTGTTGCAGCATTCATGAGGTCGCACAACGCCTATGATAACACTTCCATTTCGTCCATTAGATGCACTTAAGAATATATATTCATCATCGAAATAGTAGTCTTGGCTAACAACCTCATCTGTTCCCCAACAATATTCCCATGTTTCAACTCTTGAATCATACTCAAATAAAGTTGGACGATTTTGATGATATTCAGCAAACAAGAATCTAAAATGGTTACAGTTGCAATTAGGGCAAGACAATAATTTCATACCGGATCTTCGCCACAAGGATGTACCCCGTGGACCTAAAGGACTTGGAGGGATGTTTTTGACAACCCTAGTCATAATATCAAGTGACATGAGTTGTTGTGTATTATTCAAAGCGAAGAGGAATATATTAGCATTAGCAGTCAAAAAGTAGACATCTTCACCTGGTGGTACTACTTGTTTCAACATATCACATATCAATATAGTGAACCAACGATTGGAACAATCAGAAATACCATAGAGAAGGGCTTCACGACGCCAACGTTTTTTATAAAGGAAGAGCCATGTGGCGGAGCTTGATTGATGATTGTAGTTACGAATGAAATCTCCATCAGAAATGATAGACAAAATAGACTTATTAACAGATTTGAGTTGGATAATCTCTGGCAATGAAAGTTGAAGGATTATATATTGGATGAGTTCTGATGGAAGTAAGCAAAAACTGATGGCCTTTGTAGGCATGACTTTCCATCAACAACTTCTTCTTTGATTGTTCAATGCCAATGAGATATTAAATAATGTGATTAATTTGTTGATAAGTAATGATTAGTGGAGATGACAAATGAAGGTTAGAGGCCAGGGCATCCTATGTGGAATTGCCGTCAAATGAATGGTGGAGAAAGTTTAATGTTATTTATTTTCTTAAGTAGGTAACATGGTCACTAATAATACAAACATTTAAAATGATTTTCGAATTCTATAAATTTTGTCCTAGGCGTGCCTTCATTAGTCATATAGAGATAGGGGCCATAATATGGACATGTCTCAATTTTTAAACAAGTATTATTGGGTGGAAAGAAAAGATACTTAATACAATAATACTCACACCTCAATCATGCCGTCTTGTGTAGCTAAGTCTCAAACTTATATTATTATTATTATTGGCATTATCTTTCTATTTTCTAACTCTCTCTTGTTTTTAAATAATCGTTGGCTTCTAAATTGATCCTTGAAAATATGGGTTGTGCATCAGTAAGGTTGGTGCGATTCGATTTTATATATTATCGATTTGACTTATTATTTTTTTAAAAAAAAAATAGGTTAAATCAATAATCAAATTAGTAAGATATTTTTTATGTTTTATTCCTTAACAATTCAATTCTCGCTTAACCAATAAGAGAATACTTATAAAATAAATATATGATTTCTCTAATGAATTTGACGCGACAACAAAATAATGTAACTTTTATAAATGATCATAAAATGTAAACAATAATAACAAACATGTAAAGAACTACACAAGTGTAAGTCAAAGAGAATAAAGAGAAATAGGGTTCTTATTTTAGATTTATATGTTTTGTATAATGTAAAGTTATGAATTGAAGGTTAAAGGGAAAAGACTAGTAAGGTAAAAAGATTAATATATAATATTTATGTACAAATAAAATCAACAAATTACTAGTTTCAATGGATCATAGATTTACTCAATAATCTAATATTAAAAAAACAATATCGAACTGATAATTTGACCATTTATAAAACTATTACAAATTGCTAACTGAATAACTTAATTACTAAAATAAATTAATTAAAAAAATTCGATTCGATTCGTACAACCCTATTTTGACATTAAAACTCTAGCATGTTTAACAACTAGACAACTAGTAAAATGCTTCCCACTCTATAAAACAAATTCATTCGCTTTACTAAAGAAAATGTTTTGATTTATTTCTCATCTTAAACATATTGATTCTCACCATTTAAATATACCTAAGTAACTATTAGCCATGTATTGTTGAATACGTTGAAATATAAGGTCATTAGGAAGAAGAGCTTCGCATACCCCTCCAAAGATGAATTTTGTTTTAACATAGTTTCGGGTCAAAATGTACAAGTTTTCTTGAAAGATGTATCCTTGTGTTTGAAATAAATAAAAATTAATTAAAATATACTTGAAGGGTGAAATTTTAATATGTATAAAATATTAAAACGAACACTTGTTTTTTACTTTTTGTAGGTGGTTGTATCTTTTTTATTATTTTATACTAAATAGTGGTGTTATTGTAGGAAAAGAGCTTTTTTTTTTAATAATAGTTGTCACATCTCTAATTTTTTACAAGTGTTTTGTAGGTCCGCCCCCCGTCAGCAGTCTCTTTCACAATTCATTTCGTCAAACTCTCCTACCTTCTACCTGAGTGTTCTTTTATACAATAATAATTTACTACTAAAATTATTGGCGCTCGAGCGCGGATTGAATATCACAAAATTTATAAAATAATTTTTAAAATTTATCAGTTATTAAAATTAAAATATTACATTATTTTAAATATAAGAATATTTAGTAACAAACATTAATAATGTAAAAAAAATAATTTCTATTACTTCTTATAATTTATTCTTAATAACATATGAATAAGTTAATGAGTGTTAAAATACATACCATGATTTATAACATAAGCAATGATGTCAGTGAATCACTCAACTGAAATAAAATACACAAATATTTAATTGCGAAGAAGAATAGGAGGTTTAGAGTTTTCAATTTTTTAAAGTAAAAGGAAATCCCTCTGTTTATAGACAACAAAGGGTAGCGTAAACAAATATTTATTGTGCCTTATCGTATATGTTACAATTATTTGAAAAAGTTGCAACCCTTCGAAAATGTCACAACGTTTCATACAAGTCACAACTTTTCATAAATATCACAACTCTTCATAAAAGTCACTAACTCTTCGTTAAAGCGCAACTCTTCATAAAAAGTTACAACTTTTCATGAAAGGGGACAGCTACAAATTTTGATTTATGGTAATGCCACGTAGGCAGGCTGAAAGTTTTCTTTATATATATATATATATATATATATATATATATATATATATATATATATATATATATATATATAATTATTATTATTAAAAATAAATAATTTTTTAATATATGTCATTTCATAAAATTAATATATAAATAATAATTAAAAAATACTGTTATAAAATCAAGCTCATAAGAATATAATCATAAAGAGAAGAAGACATGAGAAGTAGATAGAAGAAGAGGAATTTTCTTCTTATTCAAGTGTATTCAAGTCTCATATGTATCTATTACAATAGTGAATGAACAACCCTATTTATAAAGTGAGAAAATCACTCCAAAGGTCACCATATTAAGTATCATAATAAATAGATACATTCTTATCCAAAAAGGTTCATGTAACCTAGTGAATAT